GAGACTATTTCATTTATTAAATGTTTTGTTTGATATACAAGTTGTTCGGGTTTTTTATCTAAAAAAGCGACATTAATTTCTTGACGACCTAATATATTTTAAGAAGAGTAAAACACTTGACTAATAATATGTAGGTTTACGTATGAATAAAATGAATTGAATAGGTACTTTAGACAATTTTAGTTTTAGACTTAACAGGCCGGACGTTGTTCAATGGTTAGCGTTCAATTCAATCCTAGAATTTACAGTTCGCAATCCATTGGCTCAAAAATGTTCTCCACCCTTTGGGACAGTGGGTGCTATGATAATGACAGTCAAATCCTACTGTTCGAGCAGACATGAGTAGCCCAAGAATTAGAGACGAGTGCTGTTCACCAACTGCTTTCTCTTTAGTTTATCGTTTTCAAATTAGAATCGATTATATACATAGATGGTTGTTATGTAAATTTATACATAACAGTTGCTGTCAATGGTAAAGTTCTGAACTTCTGTTGGAATATTTCATGTTAAATCCTAACATGTAAATTACTAGCAGAGACCCGCAAAACATATGCGGTCAAATTAGTATCTTTATCATAACAATGCTTCTTTAAATACAGGATTTCTAGAATATTACAGAAGAATTCTAATCGCAGACACCGAAATCTACAAGTTCAATTGTCTTAGGCCTAACATTACTTAAACCTATATTAAGTACGGCCTATATTCGATAGAGAGATACATTAACGCTGTAACTTGTGTAATTTTTTTGTTTTAGTTTAGTTAGGGCTAAACTTTATCGTATTTAATACTATAAATAATAAATTTATGATGTTATTCTACGATCTAACGTTAGACCTTTTTTAAAAACTTTGATAAGCTTTTAATATGTTGTACAAAATGTCTACTAAAGTATGTTTACATTCGTAAGATATATCGTTTAATCAGTTTGACGTTTTTTCAGCAATAACTATTAAGCCTTGCATATTAATTTTTTATAAATACACATATCAGTAATGTCGTTAGTTTCTAAAGGAGGCTGCCAGCAATGTATATTAGGCACCTGTCTTTTTTATTTCTATATTCTCTTTTTACCGAATTTCAGCAAACTTTATAACCTGTTTAATATTTTGTTACTGAGTGAATTTTAGAATAACCAATCGTCAAGGCAATTCCCCGTAATTGAAATAATGCATGAATTAGTTTTGAATTTCTTTGTTATAGTGAATTGAAATTTGTAACTTCTCTCAGAAATTTGTGCTGCTTGAAAGTTTTAATGGGTATTTTTTCTTAGAGAAATGAGAAAAACTGTTGAGTCTTTGTTACATTTATAACGTTAAAAACCGGGTTTCGATACACTTGGGAGGCACAGCACAAATAACCGATTATGTAGCTTTTTATTTAACAACAAACGAACTTCGCCACTATTGCAACACAGGGCTCATTTTTCAACAGGAAAATATATTTCAGCTTAACTTTTAAAGCTCTTCATAGAACGAAGCTCCGTAATCAGCGTATTGAGCCAATTTCTAACATAGTGAATTATAGTATGCAGAAAAATTTGTAATAAACTAATGGAAAAGTTAAATAAAATAAACAGAAATGCCTACAATTTCTTTTAAACTAATGCATCATTCTTCATATTGATTTTCCTGGTTCGAACATTAAAGTTAAGTATTAAATGTATTAGTAAGAGTAAAGAGGACCTTTCAACTTTTATGGGTTCAAGTAAGATAATTTTATGAGAGAAGAATTTTTGATATGCTATATATTGTCATTAGTGGAGAAACTTTTGTGATCTCGTTCTTGTTGTTTTGGGGCCCGGCATGGCCAAGTGGTTAGGGAGCTCGACTCGCAATCTTAGGGTCACGGGTTCGAATCCCCGTTCCACCAAACATGCTCGCCCTTTCAGCCGTTATAATGTTACGGTCAATCCCACTATTTGTTGGTAAAAGAGTAGCCCAAGAGTTGACAGTGGATGTTGATGACTAACTGCCTTCCCTTTAGTCTTACACTGCTACATTAGGGACGGCTAGCGCAGATAGCCCTTGTGTAGCTTTGCGCGAAATTCGAAACAAACAAACTTGTTGTTTTGGCTCACCGTTTTATATTCACCAGTTGAAATTAATTTTAAAAATAAAGGTAGTTTTTCACAGTTGCAGTCTTCATGATGCAATCGGTTAAATGTTATTTGCTCTTCAAATATTTTATTATTATCATTACTAGTAGAATGTGTCGAAATTCGACAAGTTATATAGAGTTGTGGTATTTCGCATTCTTATCTAACCATACCAAATCGAATGTTTGGCCACTAAGATATGTCCTTTCTAAAAGTTCTTTCAATTAAAACTAAACAAAAAACAAAAACACCTCTAGCAGTGTTGATATTGTGAATGTTCACTCCACCTTCAAAGGTTTTAATAGTCATCCCTGTTTATGCACTTGTCAACATCAGAATTCAAAAGTGTGAATTAGTCGTCCATGTTTTTGCACTTGTTAACCGAATTCTCAGAACTAAACAAAACACTAAAATTTGTAAACAAAGTTTTAGAATATTACCCAACAAATCTATTTGAAACCGAAATATAAACAAAACATGTTCAAGCATGCGTCTTATTGTGCAATTTCTTTAAAATATTAAAATGTATTTTTTGATTAACATAAACTGACATAAACAGTATTCTGAAAATTAGCTTTTAAAAAATATTTTTGATGCTACAGCATTACATTATATAAAACGTGTCAAAATTCGAAAAAAAAATATAGAATTGTGGTATTTCAAACCACACTTTGAAATTAAGGGTTGTCGAATTTATATTGGAAAAGTTACCTAAACTTTCTTGTAAACATTTTCAATATCTGCACCTTCAGAGACATAAAATTTTAACCGATCGAATGACCATATCCTGGATAAAGGTACATAGATCTAACCGTAAGAAAACTCGGCTAAGTGCAATCCGTCAGACAGACTTCTGTTTTTACTCTATTATATTATTGTGTCGTAAGATTATTGTGCGTTTCTCTTCTACGAAGGTTTTGCTATATCTGTATTCGGTCTGTGCTCACATCTTTTACAATGTTTCTGTTTTCATACACACATCCCCTCCTTCCGTTCTCACTAGGCATGAATTTGCTTTTTTTCCTCGTTGTAGCTCTTATCCAGTAAGATTTTATTTTATTTCTGTAGTTCAGCGCATATTGAAAGATTTTTGCTATGTTCTATTGCCTAGGCACCGTTCTTATATTTTAAGATTTTGCTATTTCTCTGTTCCACAGCTGAAATTCCGTTGTTATAACAATTTAAAGGCGCCTTCTTTTTCTTTCATTTCATATAACCTCAGATTATTTTTTATTTCTTTTACAGTCTAGATGACAGCAGTTCAATCAGTAGCGGGCTTAGTGACGCCATTGCCGACATAAGCACAGATGACAACTTGACGGGATCTTCATTAAGCTCAGAAACTAATCAGTACAGCAGTATGAAACAAACTTCACGAGATGGCGTTACGAAATATTCTTACTCCACTGAAGACAAGTTTAAAAGAGGCTGGGAAGAACGTGTAATGGGAAAGCCCTCTAACGGTAAATCTGCAAACGTGGAGAAAACGGACAGCTCAATGCAAACAGAATCTAGTGCTTTCCAACAAATGTCATCAGCTGTATGGAAGAAATACCTCCAACAACAGCATGAGCAGCATACACGATCTGGAAAAATTGAATCTGAACGTATTAGAGAGAAAAAAAGTAGTTTTACGTCTTCCTCATCCCCTGGTGGAAAAAAGAGTTGTACTATAAATGGCACAGTTGATAAACATGCATTAGTCGAAAACCAAAAATCTAAACATAAAACTTTAGTTCAAAAACTAGAAGAAGGGAAGAATCGAGAATATGACCCTGGAATTGAAAAAGAGTTACGAAATGGAAGATGTATTAGTCCAAAACCTACCAAAACAAACTCTGACTCAGTTGATCAGTTGATTCAACCAGCACGCGACTCACGAAAAGCTCAAGGTTACAGAACAGCTTCAGTAACTGGGACTAATGCAAATTTTGTAGTAAGCAAAAAGCAAGCCAATACATCAAACATTTCTTTGAATGGCGATAACAAAACAGGCAACTCTAAAGTACAGAGTAATTTCAAAAAAGAAAAGTCTCAAGACATCAAAAATCACGATATGTATTACACAGAATATCCCGACGTGAACCACATCCAATCGTCTAGCTTACCCAGGAACTTATCCACAGCGTCCTCTAGTGGTAAAAGCATCTATGACCGCAAGGAAAAGATGAAAGTATCTGCTAACACCCAGAACAACAATCCGGAAGTGCGTGTTTTTGGTGGGTCAGCAGCTTTTTCTGACAGTGAATACAGTTCCTTAGGCCGAAAAGCGTGTAAACAATACACTTTGATGTCACCAACTGTTGGAGGACTCCGTGAACGTGTTTACGGATCTCGTCCTGTCATTAACGGCTCTTCCAATTCCGACTATGTAATTCTTTCTGGTTTCCCCGCAACTTCTAGAGAGCGCTCGATCCATGGGCCAAGACTTTCCATATCTCTTAGGCCTAACGATGCAGACATGGGGAATTACGCTAATATTGACCACCCAAGTATCAGTAACTCTCTTCCTTCATCCAGTTCCAGTGCCTACGCCTGGCTACGTTATAGCGGCAGTTCAGGGGCTTCAGTAATCTCAGGAGTAGGCACCCGTAGCTGTAGTGCTAGTGGAGGAGGGCTTACTGAAGCTGAAAGTATGGAATCTATATCCTCAACTTCCTCCAATGTACATCCTCAGGTATTGACTTACGTCAAACGTTTGTTGCAGTTATTCTGTTACGTTTTTAATTAACTTTTTCTAGTACCACCCATCCAGTTTATCGAATAGCATTTTGATATATGCCACATATAATTAATATACAAATAGGAGATACTAAGTACCTTTTTATTTAGGTAAAATCTTATATTTAGTATAACTTGACTGCGCCCTCCATGTTACGGCGTACTCTTACAAAGTAATACCTTTAATTGTCTTGGAACGCTTCCCCACTTCCACGTGAAACACATCGGATGGCAAAATAGAAGCAAAGCTACAAAGAACTGATGGCACATAAATTACAAAATGGAGAGGCACCATATGATATATTATGGATCATCAATGACTTCATGATCATGCTGACAAGGAAAACATTGACTTCGGAAGTATCAGAAACCATTCAAGTTTGAGCAAGATTGTAATAATGGTACTTCTGGGGAAATTGATGTGGGGTTTTGTAACTTTCCAAACAATTTCAACCCTGTTAAGCTTCAGTCAAAACTAAACCCCATTTTGGTCTGGTAATGTATTGTTGGGTATAAACGCTGCCCAAAGTTGGTGGGCTTGCCAATAATTCTCATGTTAGAATATTCCTTGTTGGAATGATCCCAAAGTCTCTGATGATCCTAAGAGATTTGATAGCGTCTTCCCAATCTGCAGGCGAGATATCTTTAATTTATTGTAGCTTTGTCTTTTTTTTCCCCCTAAAAATCACTTAACGGCAGTGGTGCAGATTTCTATGGTAACTGAAGGTAGTTCTTTTTTAAGTTACTTATATCTTGAAATAGAGGTCATGAAGGAATTATAAAAATGTTAAAGCAAATAACTTTGTGAATTATAATGAAATAGGTTTTATTTAGTATGTAAGAAAAGTTATTCAACATTTTGCATAAATAGCTTTATTCATTATTTCAGATTCCACTGTAGACTGCGTTATGGTTACAGTACATCGGTATCTATCGTTTAGTAGAGAAGCAAAACAGATTACACATTAACTTTTTGAATGGCGTTAATTTTTCTTTCTTGTATCTTTAAAATGGTTTCGAGGTTTCAGTAGAGTTTTGTCTGTTTTGATTTTACTCAGATCCTAAAAACAAGTAAACGCTAAAAGAATTAATACCAGAATAGAGAGTCTGTTTGAAATTTTAGTGAACAAAATGCGTATACACACAATATATTGGAAATAATTATGGCAACGGCAAGGTAAAAGGGCATAAAAGGCAAATGCTATGGAAATGCCACCCTTTTATCGTATGAAAATTAACTGCACTAGAGTACAGTCATCCAACCAATCAGAAAGTGTCACACTAGTATAAAACTGATAAAAAGTACAGTCATACTATGCCCAGTAGAAGTAGTGTAAATCTATTCATGGTTCTCAGAACTGAAATACTGCATGACAAGCGGGTGGAAATTATGCTCTGTGGCGTAATTGCAGCAAGATTACATATTGCAGAAAGAGGTGTATACAAGACTATGAGGGTACATGAAGATGGCACTTTTAATAATAGAGGTGGTCGAGGTAGCAAACCGAAATTCTCTAAAAGTGATGTTAAGTATCTCGAGTTATGTTTCCTACAAGATAAACAACGGTCAAGTTCAGATCTTGCCCATGACTTTACTGTACATATAGGTGTGAATCTTACCTCGAGAATAGTAAGATGCACATTAACATGATATGGTCTGGTACGTATTAGAAGTTCAAATAGTCCATAGCCGAGTTAAATGGTAATTTAAATTTAGTAGTTAAGTTGTACTTTGGATTTAGTATTTAAATATATGTCGATATATTAGTCAATTTACGATATTTGCCAACAAGATTGATACACACCGTTTTTGTTTTTAACACAAATACGCTTTAATATACACACAACAGTGCAATTTACAATAACAATTATTACAAATAGTTATTAGTTATTACAAACAACGATTTATAAACAAAAGTTTCACAAACTTACAAACAATATAAAGTTTTCTTTCTAGTCTGGAACTTCCTTGATATATTATCGAGGGTTTACGATGAGCGAGTTGATGTAAGCACGATTCGCCGGGAAGCTAGCTAGCTTTATCTCCTTGGCTACACACGCTGTTGAAGTTGGTAATGTTTTCGAAAAAATACTAATGTCCGATGAGAATCCACTGAAGTTAAACGATTTGTAATGTTCGAAATTTATAAATATTCCTGGTCGAATATATTAAATTTTCCGATTGATAAGCATTATAAAAATAACAATTATAGCTTTCGAAGTTTATAGTATGCTGATTATAGCAACTAATAATAGACACTTCCTGGCGCGTGGCATTAGTTATATTTATAGCGTGGGAACGATTTCTAGGAACTTCAATCTTACGTAACAATACTGGTTAAAGCGTTTACATACACACATATATTGTCGATTCTTCCTCTCGAGAATCTTCTACAACTTTGGAGGATAGGCGGGAGTTGCGCAATAGATATCTAACACTACAGGCTATGTATGCTTTTAAATATAAACTCAATCTAAACAACGTTGATATTAAAATAAATTCAAACAAATTCGTTACAGGTATCAGTGAACGTGTAGTTGCTCGAAAACAGCTCCTGCGAAGATGTAACCAAATAATAAACGTTTAAATGGACATCGAAACAAAGACAGTGGAATGAGCAAAGCTAGAAACTTGTGCTCTTTGCAAATAAATTCTAGTGTGAATTAGACTGGGAGAAGAACGGTATCATAGTCAATGTACAACGTGAACAGTGAAGTATGATAGGGATGAGTACAAGATTGGGTTCGAATCTTAGCCAACGAAGTGAATGATATATACAAAATTAATGCTATTCTGATTGCTTAATTGTACAGCAGGATTTTGATCCACCGTGCTATTCTCTGAGGAACGCGACTCATCGGACGGTGATCCATCTTCCATTAATATAATGAACTTCATTAAGCATACAGCAAATGTGGGGAAGCGATGTGCTGACGGTTAAAAAGATATATGGAACATTCTCGACAGTGGCTTGATCTGCACGGAGACCCGATATGAACACTTTTGGGTCTATTAAAGCTAACATAAAACCCAAGAATATTAAAAGGCGATCAAACAACTTGGCTGGAATGTGAAGAGTAATACGAAACATTTGCGACAATATTCCACAGCCGTACATTGATAATCTTGTACCAAGGTGCCATGTTCTTTGTAAAGCAAATTTCTCACATGCAGAACACTAGTGCATCTTACAACTTATGAGCTTTTATTTTGTACTTTCAGTGATAATGTTACATACCATTACCAAATTCGTCATCTATTTGCGGTTTGTCATTGTTGGTAACTCCTGTACGTGTATCTCTCATGCACTTCCATAATTATTTCCAATACTATATAGATGTCGAAAGAAGAAAGAGGGAATATCAGAACATTCGTTAATTTGGAGAGCTTTACATTATAACTGAACAATGGCTTTACATTATAACTGAACAATGGCTTTACATCATAACCAAACAAGGGTTTTACATTATAACTGAACAAGGAGAGGTTTTACATTATAACTAAACAAGAGTTTTACATTTTAACTGAGCCAAAAATAAAGCAATCATCACATGCTTACTGTTTTTATTTAATATTCAATAACTGTTTGTTTGTTTTTAATTATATCAATGTACGTTTTTGAAGTGTATGAAATAAGATGTTATCACGCACACAATTTCCGAGCATCTGATTATTCGCCAGTGAAACTTTACTATGCTCATTTGTTCCTAAGTCATGTGCATAAGCGAATAAAACATTGAAAGCTAAATGTGCTCCTAATTTCGGGATATAAGATAATGGAACATTTTATTTCATTCACATTAAGACTACTTTCACTTTATAACAATGAACCAATAAATCATTAAGAAACAAACCTACTAATATTTCACTGACGTAAACCAATAAAAGATTATCAAGTAAGTCTCGTAGTTCATAAATACAAGTTAATAAAATGTTTTCATATAAGTTTCATAGTCTATGTATATAAGCCAATAAAATGTTTTCAAATAAATCTTATAGTTAATAAATATAAGCTAATAAAAAGTTTTAACTTACTTTCATAGTTCATGAATACAGCACAATAAAACTTTTTAAAGTCTCACATTTCATGAATACAAACGAACAAAGGTTTTTTCAAATAACCTTGATAATTCATAAATACAACTCAATAAAACTTATTTTTCATTTATTTCGAATACTTGTTTATTTTTTCCTTCTGAAGTTTCTATGATGGCTGTCCGTTTATTATTCCCTTTTTTGCTTACAAAAAAACCCACTTGACGTTTTTGATTTAATATTTGCTCACATCATTATGAAACTTGTTCTTCTCTATGAGTTTTCTAATACTGATGAACAAAAAATTAGTGTGATAACTCAAATATATAACCTACTTATGCATTTTATTCCTAAGATCTTGGATCTGTGCTTCAACTTTTTTTTATTAGTCATTTAAAATCATTTTAGGAAATATTTTAAAGGTATGTGAGAAAAATTAGGTTAGAACACAAGTGATTTATTTCTGGTTGTAGGGAACAGTTCATTCAAAACTTTTCAATTTAACAAGGTTTAGTTGAACTTACAGATTCAGCATGCTCGTGCTAACAGCCTGACTCGTGCTCGTCTGATGATCCACCAGAGGGAACTCTCAGGGTCCCCGCGTTTGTCCCGTTCCAATTCGATTAGGTCTACCAAGTCAGAAAAGTTATATCCTTCCATGTTACAGCGATCTGATGAAATGGACAATAACTATTCAGGCAATATATCAGTTTCTGGACATCCGGTCAGTAATGGTCAACCGAACTCGCCCAACACAAAACCGATCACCCAGGTGGGGTAATATTTTTGTTGATAGAATATGTTAGGAACATCAGCGAATAATACAAGCATTAACGTTTTTATTAAACAGGAAAATACCAGGAAGGAATTCAACTGGAAAAGAAATGATAAATAAAAGTTACAAAGTATGAGTTGTTAAATTTAATTCCAAATTTTATAGTTTTCTATATGTCCTGGGACATAAAACTGTTTATATAAATCATTCTTAGAAACCCAAAACTAGTATTTAACATAATGTTTGCCTTTTACAACTATGTACATTTTATGCCCCTAAAATTTCCGTAAACAATTTTTACAACTTTTGCAAGAAACTCAAAAATCAATTTACTGATAAATTCGTTTACTTTCTTGTAAAAACAACAAAAAACGACATTAAACAAGCGTGTTTTGCACATCTATAATCTTAAATAAAATGTTTCTAGTAAAATAAATTGTTTTCCTGGTTTCTTTTTTTTTAAGTCATAATTCAAACTTTTTGTAGTTGAAATAACTTCGGTAATAATATACGCGCTCGACATTTACATAGTAAAACGTATTGTTATTACATACCTGAAAATGTGCTTGTGTCAGTCACCTAATCTGTTTCATCTCCGTTATGTCTTTTTGAATAATAGAGCAGTAATTACTACGAAATCCTGTCATCATCTGGCCATCACTTCTTGTACAATCTTTGAATTTAGGAGAAAATACCCGAAAGCTAAATTTCTCCGGAGATTGAAATGAATCTTACTGATTGTTTGGTTTTGGATTTCATTTAAATTAGGAGCAATGTTTTTACACTAGAAAGTTCGTGGGATATTGTAATTCGTTTATTGACAGCCTTGGCAAAACTTAGATAACTTCATTATCAAGACTAAGAAAATAGACTACAAACTAATTTCAGCTGTGGAACAATAATAGAGCTGAAAAACAATTGTTGACGTGTATTATTTGTTTAGAAATTATTTGTATTTTGTCTGAGATTAATTAATTTTCGAACAACATTTTATTGGGTCAATTTAACTTGAAGCATGTGAATTTTACGCAAGTTTTCAAATAAAAATTAGCAATAAATGTACGAAGAATCTTTTGACTGAAAATATTAGTTGTGTACTGTAACGTTGGAACAAACTTTGTGCCTTCAGTTAAGAACTTCTATGTTTGTTAGAAGGTTAGTTTTGAAAGGAATTCAGTAGTTTGTTATTAATGACTATATGGCTTGGTTATTTCTTAATCTTGTATTTCACCATATTATTTATCACGATATACGCAATGAGTATTGTAAGTATATAACTAATATAATAGTGACATACGTGGATATAATTCCGTGTACATTATAGTTAAGTTTAACTAATGAATAGTTGTGTGGTACATAATATTGTGGTGAGTTTTTTTTATACAATGTTTTTGCAGTAACAAGTGTTAGTTTTTTGTTTTTCATTGTATAATATCTACCATTGCTTTATTGTGTGCAGTTTTTTTTTAAAACGTAAGTAATAAATTATTTATGATGTCCATAGAGTAGTGATGAATTGATTTGGTTGTTAAAAATACTTTGAGTTACTATTTCGTAAAATTTTGTATCATAATGTAAAATGTTGGATATAAATATTTTACATTCATATTGAAACATTCTAGATATATTATTTCAATAGGCTTCTGTGCAGTACACTATTATGTATCGGCGTTAAATATAGTGGTTTTGAATTTACGTTTAATGTAACTGTTATTATTTATATTGAATTTGACTATTATCGAAATGTCGCTAAAACTTTTATGTACTAGTTCTTAAAAATAGTTTTTTGAAATTATTGAAAACTAAGGCATTATTACAAACTGAAAGTTTCAAATGCACGATGTATATTTTCTAAAAGTCAGTCAAGTAAGAAAGGATTTAAAACTTTCCATTTTGAACTTTATAATTCTAGGGGGCGCCACGCTACTTATTTCCTCTTTCTCCAGTCAGCCCTCTACCTCTAACATCAAGTGCCTCGGTAGCGCCACCAAATGTTCGATATTCTGGATCCATGCCTCATTACATGGGAGGACTGTTATCGAAAGTCTGCAACAAAGAAGACGAAAGTAAAAATAAGACTGTTTTTATGCATTTTTTTATCAAGATAAACCCTTAACGTTACACAAGAACTAATTTCTTAAAATGGTGAATTGATAATATGTAGGCAAACAACGATTTATAAGCATAAGGAAGAGTTTTATGAATTGTGGAACATACTACATGTTTCGACAAAATTTTGGTCTGTCTTCTTCAGGTCGAAACATGTAGTATGTTCCACCATCCATAAACCTCTTCTTTATGCTTACAGATCGTTGTTTGCCTATTAGCATAATGTACTTACTTACTCAGGTAAAATGATGAATTACATCTAATATTAGAGTGTACAAGTATATTACAACGTGAAAAGACTAGGCATTGAAAAAAGTAATATGCATTTTATAAGTTGTAGTATATTTTGAGTATTGAATAAAAATTATTCACAATGGTTATCTGAATGAAGATGTTTAATATTATTGTTAAAGCTCACAATGTCGGTCAAACTTTTCAGGTTATTTTAATTATTATTTCAGTGCACTGCTCATCCTTGTCTGTTATTTCTTCCTCTTCTATCTATTCAACGGTAAGAGTATTTACTAAGTTTGATTTTAAATTTAATTTTCACCACTTTATTTTTTACATTTGCAATTTTAACTATTCTAAGCAACAAAATAAAATTTGTAATCATACAAATCTGTACGTTTTTATCCTTGACAGTCACACTTAAGTCCATTCGAACTTACTAGAAATTAGAGATGGGACCGTTTAATTTCAGAGAATTTTTAATCTTTGAATTTTGATTAATTTTTTTTAAAAGCTTCATTAAACTACTGCCATAGACTATTGCATCGGGGTAACTAATAACCACCATAAATATCTTTGCAGCCCAGAGATACTAGGTCGACTTTGAAGGATATACAAAATTTATAAATCTGGACATGTTAAAAAAACTTCTGTGGATAAAAATAGGTTGGACTTAATTATTTCACACAGAATCAATTTAGGGTAAGTAAAACGACCTATTTTTCAGAAGAAAAGACTCAATTTGCGCCTAATCAGTTGATTATTGGTCTAACTCAAAGCGTAATGACATTACAACATCAAAAATGGTAATATATTTAAATTGGCAACATCTGTAAGACCTGTGCGGCATGTTCTGTGTAATGGAAGTTCGAGGCTGGTGTACGCAAAATATACATCATTTCATGAACACTCTGCACCTTTTTTACCTCGTGTAACGCACATTAGTAATGAGATATTCGCGATCGGTCGCGAATCTTGTAAATTTTCACCTAGTTTTGAAATTATGTGGATTTGGAGGCGGACAAATGAATAATTCTAATGTAATAGTGTTGTACTAACTGAGAAAGTTATGGTGGGAGTTTTACGATGTGGGCTACATTCTAGGCATTGGGAGTGGGAGTTATCTGTTAAGTTAATGAGCATGTCCAATAAGGCACTGCGGAGTATTTTAATGAGAAAACCAATAGATTGCCCTAGCCTTGCCATAAAACTATGCCTGATATCAAAATAACAGTATCAAAGTCATGAAATAACTGGTCAAGAGTCCATATCACAACCCTATGAAATACCTTTGGAACCATCTGGAGGAGGATAATTCTAAAAGTTATACCATAACCATCTTGTTGGCATCAACTGGCTGAGACTTGGAAACAGCAAGGGAACAAGATTCCACCATACACTTGTCGAGGTGTTACTAAGGGTTTCCCTGGCATAATAACAACATTTCTTATTCAAACATATCTCAGGACTATACCGTATCAGAATAAAGATTACTATGACTCATTCCTTGACTCAATTTTGGGACATTTGGAAGAACAAAAAGTGAAGAATTAATTTTCATTTGTGATATCATACCGTATTACCGCCCCAGTGTTCTCATGGCCTATATATATATTATTGTTTGTATAGTTACGCATCAGTACAGAAAACCCGTGTGAATTTGACGTAATATTTATGATAGTTACAATATTAAAAGTATTAACGCTGCATAAGTCATTGTTTTCACAGAGAAGAACATTTTACGATTGTACTTTATCAGTTGACTCTTAAATGTTCTACCTTGAAAAAAACGCAAGTTGAAAAGTTGTTTTTTGAAGATTAGGTCATGTTTACATACTGAACCAGTTGTATAATCCAGTATTTAATACTTTACACTTAGACTAATGCTAATAGTTGTTACATTTTAAATAAGAATACTACTTACAACTAATGTGTAATTAGTTATGATATGTAATGGCTGTGCTTTAAACTTTTAAGCAAAGAGTAGTCCTCTGGATATGTGTTTTAATTCAATCTCTGGTCTATTTTAATATCTAAGAACAAGCAGGCCTAAGAATATTAAACAACAGTTATATTTTAGATATATATTTATTATATTTATGATTCGGTTTCATAGGCTGAGGACAAGCAGTCTCAAGAGATTAAAAAGCTTAAAAGGGAATTAGAACAAGCCAATGAAAAAGTAGCTACATTGACATCACAGCTGACCACAAATGTAAGTACCGAACTTTTGTAAGTGCAAAATATTTCCTCTCTGTTTATGCAATAACCTGAACAAACAGTCATTGCCCATTCTATGCTTTGTGCTCAAAAAGAGTTATTTTCTAAGTAGTCCTATAACTAGAGGTACCTTATAGCGCCACCTGCTGACAGTTGTGGATGTTCAATACGAATATGAACGTCTATGCATCAAAATGCAGAGCGTTATTTACCTGAGACATCAGTTTCCAGATAAATCTAAATGTGCATTCTCTAATATTGACTTTAAAAACATGAACAGACTGCTGAGATGTTTAATCGCACACAGTGACATATATCCAGCTAAAAGGTAGGGAAACTGGAATATCTGATTTTTCCAAATAGCAGTATAAACTAATAGAGAGTAACAGTGAATCAAAACAGAAAATTTACGATCTTCCTAGTAATTAAAGATTTTCATTTACAAAATCTATAAGTGTCAGGTAGAATTAATTGTTTTCATATTATTTCTTTTAAATCTAATTTTTAATGACAAAAAAATAAATTATTATGTCGATTGACATACAAGACAATATTTAGTATTTAACTAAACTCTTAAGCTTCGTGAATCTTTGTGTTATAGTTGTTTAAAAAGCTTTCATCGAAAACGAGTTTTAAACGGAAATTTTAAGGCTTTTGTTCAGAATGTATTAATTATAATTCAAAACTTAACGATATGTGTATACGAAGTTTTTGTCATCGAAAATCTACTTGGAAGTTTGTATAATTTACGTTACTTGATTAAGGAAGCACGTTATGCTAACATAATAAGAGATAGGCACACAACGATTTATAAGCATAAGGATAAGTTTTATTGATGGTGGAAGTTACTATTATAATTTACGTTACTTCTATCAGAGGGCAGCACTTTCCAGCAAGTAACAGAAAAGTTATCCTATACTAGCTGGAGTACCTGTCCATTGGACGTTGAAATAAAAACTCGTTTGTAACAAATGATAAGAAATTGTGTTTCTATTTTTTTCTTAACATAATTAACATTTAAAGTGCAATAAAAATACATAAAGTACCAATATGAGATTAGACTAGGGCTCCAAACCCCCTCATGACCTTCCTCATGTCCTGATATATCACTGTGTCAAGTTTGGTGCTTTTTGATCAAGAAATGGGGAAACGTATAAGGAATATATATGTGAAATAATAGACATACGACCGTGTATTTTTTCCGGACACAAATTTTGCTATAAAAAGTAGATTAAATATACAGAGGATTTTTTTGTAGTTGAAATTTATTTATATTATTTCCGAAAGATTAAAAATGAAGCTGCATAATTTCTACAGCTAGAAAACAAAGATATCATATGCTCATTCTATACATTAATGGAAATATATATTAAAATATTGAGAAATTCCATTGGTGCATTTGTGAATAAGTAGATATTTCATTAAAGAAATTATCAAACGTTGATGACATTTACTAGAGAAACGGCATGACTTATAGTTTGTTAAAGAAAGTGAATACTATTATTAAACGTTGTAACTCATTAAACCTAATCAAACGTCTAGAAATTGGGTGATACTATTTGGTGAATGGAGTAACGTACGGTTTCGTTGTAATGTTTATAATATCATAAACTTTATTAATAAATATGGAAAGGTAAATAAGTAAACTGAAGGTTAAACGGGTTATTTCATGATATTTAACCTTCAATGGGCGTAAAACGTAAAATAATGTTTTTGACTATGCGACATATATATCCATTATGTGCTATTTTCGGTGTGCCTGAAACTAAAAGCTTTTGATAAAACACCTTAAAGTATGTGCGTCAGACATTAATTTACCAGAACCAGTAATTAAATTACAGTTCCTTTTGAATTTGCCCGGCATGGCCAGGTGGATAAGGCGCTCGACTCACAATCTGAGGTGTCGGTCGGGTTCGAACTCCGCACTCCCAACCAAACATGCTCCGTCCCTTTCCAGCCGTGGGGCGTTAGAATGT